TTCATGCGCACACCCTGCCCTCCTCTTGTTCTAAGTCTGGGATAAGTTTAAATTAAAAGGCTGGACGCAAGCACATAAGAACCCCCTCGGAACCTCTCCTTTCCCATCCACCCATCCACCTGAACCTGACCTCGGAGTCCCAGCAGCCCTTTGTGGCTCAGGAAGCTGCGTGGGCCTGACCTGTGGATCAGGTGGCCTGTGCTGGTGTTTGGGACCCGGTTCTCGCTTGTTGGGAGACAATTCTACAGAGACGTTCTAAACAGCTTGCTGTGCAGGAGATCAGAGGCTCCGAGGCCCGCGTTAATGTGGGAGCAGAGCTCAGATCGGTTCCTCTATTTCCCTCTTGTGGCTTAGAACCGGGGCAGACCATGTGGTGTGTGGAGAGGGGCCTGGCCCGGGGAGCAGGCACAGATCTGGCCTTGTCGCCGGGGCTGTCAAGTGGCCGCAGGGCCCCTGCTTGCTGTAGTGCTCAGCCCGTCACAGGGCCCTGAGACGGGGAAGGCTCATTGAAGGAGGTGGGAGTAGAACTCACAGGATGGTTGCTCCAGGCAGAAAGTGTTCCTGCGATTGTGGGAAGGCTACACCTCCCATTTGCTCTGATGGCCCTGGCTCTCGTTCATTGTCCATCGGCCCAGCAGGATGGTCATGGTTGCCTGGCTTCACCAGGAAGGACCTGGTTCAGGGTGAGCCCAGGTCGCTGCAGGTCTCCAATCAGGAATCAGCACCTCTCCCCCTCCCTCCCTCTGTGGCCCTGAATTCGCTCCGTGTTTGCGTCTGTCTTCTTTCCTTCCTCTGGGTTCCTCAGTTCTGTCCTGAGAGTGAATCATGGGTCAGGGACTTGGCAGCACTGTCCTGCCCTGTGGGGATGGTCTTCCTCATAGAAGGGGTGGTGGACACCCCAAGGGGCTCCTACTGAAGTCAGGGCCTGAGAGGAGGAAGGAAAAGGAGCCCAAAGAGGAGAAAGTCACCCTATTTTTGTTTCCATTCATGTTTCTGTCACTTGGAACTTTGTAGCCACGTGGTTCTAGTTGAAAGGTTGTCACTGGTGTGGAATCACCTACACGGTGGTGAGCTCGTGATTCCCCGGGCAGGCGCCTCGAGCTCTCTGACAGACCTCTGTCCTCGGCCTTCCCCTCGCCCCCCCACATTTCCCCAGCCCCGGGGACCTCGTGCCTGGGTCCTCCTGGGCTGACTCCTTTGGCCTTGTCTGTCCTGGTGCCTTCTTGTCTCTTCTGTCTCTGTCGTGAAATTCCCGAGGGGGGATTCGATCGCCCTGCCCGCCCTCCTTTCCCAGCCCTGGAAGAGGGAAAAGAACCCAATGGCCTGAGAGGAGGAGCACAGGGTGGCGGCTCCGGGTGGACAGACCTGCTGGCATAGAGCCACGTCCCAGCCGTGTCACCAGGGAAATGTGCTCCATGGTGTTTTCTGGTTTTTGTTTTGTTGTTGTTAGATTTCCAGGGGCCTTTCCTCCAGGGCACCTCTTGGTAGCCTCGAACTTCCAACCCTTTGATTAACTGTTTGCACCACCCAGGACTCCCAACATGAAGGAGGAGATGGAATCCCAGGCCTGGCCAGTGTGGTAGCCACTAGCCAACGGGCAGCTGTGTAAAGGATTCTTGAAACAGGGGCGGGGGGGGGGGGGGGGGGGAGAAAAGTGCAACAATGAATGAATGGAAATCCAAAATCTCTGTAAATGTTCATTAAAACTGATAAAACAGGGGGGGGGGGGGGGAGGAGAACTGAAGAGGACGTCCCTCGGCCGTATGGCCTGGCCGCCTTAGCTGCAGTGAAGCTCAGTCATAGTGAAGGCTGAAGACGGTGTGGGACAGGACACCGCTGTGTTGTACAGAGAGATGGTCACAGTGACTCAGAAATGACCAGGGGGCGTCTAACAGCAGCTCACAGTACTTCATCTAGCCTTTATTTCCTGTTTTCCTTCGAATGGACTCATCTTGACATTTGCTGTTGTTGTGTGTCCTCCAGTTGGAACCAACTCACAGCCGACCGTCCAGTGGGTTTTCAGAGGCTGTTGATTACATAACAGGGGAATGAATGCCTGTCTTTCTCCTGAGGAAAAACCAGATTATCAAATGTAAAGAAGTGTGAAGGCTACAGGCGCACCTAACAGAGGGTTTCTCCATGAGGAAACTCAGGATTCTTTAGATAAACAAATGCCCGAGAAGAGGACAGCCTCGGTGTTGCATCCACCAGCACGTTTGGTCTGCCTGCAGTCTCTGTGTGGCTGACTGGCAATGCCGGGGACACTCAGCGGGTACTGTGCGGCCTTGGGAGCTCTTGTCTGTGATCAGTATCTGCTGCAGGAGGAATGAAAACTAATGGAATGGTCGATGTTTTTAAATGTGTGAGTCTGTGTTGAATCGTTGTTGTTACGTGCCATCATGCCAACCTTGGCTCAGACCAATCCTGTGGACAGTGGTTCTGGCCCCTGTCCTGTCCTGTCCTGTCCTGGCCAGCCTTGCCATCTGGATGTCCCCTGTCTCGTTGAGGGTCTTCCTCGCTTTCTCTGACCCTCCACCTCCCCCAGCTCGAGGTTTTCTTCCGGGGACTGACACCCCCACCCCCCAACAACATGCCCCAAGTGTGAGATAAAGTTTGCCTCCAAGGCTTACTCCAACATAGACTTACTCATTCTCATTAATTAATTAAGGGTGATAAGGAAAAATGTATGTTAATTTGTATATTTTAATATTTTCCCAAACAAAATGAATGAAAAGGAAACAGTGGTTTTCCCCTTTTTTTGGCTGACACCAGGCTCAGTAGCAGGATTTTTGCTCTTTGAATTTGGTCACGTCCCTTATCATACTCCATCCATGAAAGAGTCAGACACAAACCCTGCATGTAACATCGTAGTGGGATTTGTAAGGCTTGTAAACCTTGTAAACCTCTGAACAGGTCTCAGGCCCCCCAGTGGGCTCCTGGACCACATGTTAGGGCCCCCAAGGACGTGAAAGTCTTGCTGGCCTGAAAGGTGGAGAATCCGTGTTTTTGCCCAAATGCTGACACACTCTGGTTGACATGTTTTGGACATCTTGCTGGGGAAGGTGGATGGTCAGAGAAAGGGTGGAAGCCCCTCAACAGGATAGACTGACAGGTGACCGTCACAGTGGGCTGCAGTCGGTCAGAGACAATGAGGAGGCAGAGGATGGGTCAGGTGTGGACCTGGTGTCCACACAGAGCAGCAAAGCCCTGCGGCTGCAGGCGGAGTGTTTCTCCCAGGGCTCGGGTTTCTGCTCCGACACTGGGTCCGTGATTCATTCCCTTGGAGCCGGCCTTCCAGGGATGCTGTGAGGCCCAGTTGTTGTCTGTGCCTGTGTCCAGTTGGCCGGGCCCCTGGGAATCTCTCCTCACAGATGGGGAACTTAGAGATGGCCTAACTAGAGGGCCTTTCAAGTCTGCTGCCATCTTTAATTTGTAGGCCAGTTATTTTTAAAAACTGAGTCTCCTGCCTCAATCTCGCGTGGCTTTGGGACACCGTTGTGAGGGTGAAAGGGATGGAGGACTCAGGGGCGGATTGGTGGAAGCAGGCCCTGTCACCGGGGAGGGGACAGCAGGAAGTGGCGGTGGCTGGGCCGGTTCAGCCAGGGTTCTGCCCGGAGCCAGGCCTGTGCTTGACACACTGACTCCGCCAGGAGGGAGACGGGCACCCTCCGCAGTTTTAGGCCGGAGGGAACTGACCTGGTCTGACTCACCTGTAGGGGGGACTCGCTGAGCTGCCCCGAGGCTTGTCCAGGGAGCCAGCGGCCTGCCTGTCCCTCCGAGGCTGCCCTTTCCTGCCGGGGTAAGGCCCACTGGATCTCCCCAGGAGGGTTTCCTGAGGGCAGTCTCCCCAGAAGGAAGATCTTCACCCCTAGGTCGGTCAACGTCAGCTCAGTTCTCCCTCCTTGACACCCTGGAAGCCCCCACTCTGATGTCGGACGCCCGTTGGTGTGTGATTGTGGGAGCCAGAGAACCACCGAGTCTTGAGCCAGGAAGTTGATAGAAAAGCACCACCTGTGGACACACATTCACCAGCTTTCTAGGTGTTCGTGGTTGTCTGGTGCCATCAAGTTAACTAGGCCTCAGAGGGACCCTGTGTGCATGCAGCATGTCAGAGAGCGAGAAGGACTCTCAGGGAAGGGGGAGCACACAGGGTGAGCGGGGGCACCCATCTCACCTGGAGAAGCGGGTTAGTGGGGGGGGTGCCCATCTCACCTGGTGAAGCGTGTGTCATCCCACCTGTTAGAAAGGACCCGCTTCCCAGCACATGGCATCCACACCTGCACATGTCACACACTTTCACACAGGCGTGTGCCTGTCACACACACACACACACACATACATGTTTGTACTCATCCCTAAATACACACACACACACACACACACACAGTCATGCACACACCCATATTCACACATAGACACTCATGCACGCTGAGAAGTACAGATGGTTTGTGGTTGCCTGACCTCCAGGTTGGCGGTTTGGACCCAGGCAGCAGTCTGTCCACAGGAGAAGGTGCGATGCTCGGCTCTGTAAAGGTGATGGCCCCGGGCCCCATGGAGCAGCTCACAGGCTGTGTGCCTGGGAATCCACGGCCCAGTGCTGGCCTCCACCTGCCCCGTGGGGGTTGGTAGAGGATTCCCCGTGTGGCATAGATGGCTGAGCACTCAGTGATTAGTCTAAAGTTGGTGGTTTGAACCCACCCAGGGGCATATTGGGAGAGAAGCCTTGTTTTTCTTACACCCCAAAATCAAGCCCTTGACAACCTCATGGAGCTCACTCCTGCTTTGACGGGCACAAGGCGGCCAGGGTGTAAGCCAGGTCAGCAGTGACTAGAGGGCAGGTCAGCAGTGACTGGTGGGGGCCAGGTCAGTGGTGACTGGTCAGGGCCAGGTCAGCAGTGTCTGGTGGCCTTGTTGAACAGCGTCCGTCCTGGGTGTCTCTGGCTGGGTACAGCTGGTGCTTCCCGATTCCGTCCTAATCCTGATCCGTCTCTTGCCTGCAGGATGCTCGCCAGAAGTTCCGCTCGGTCCTGGTGGAAGCAACGGTGAAACTGGACGAGCTGGTGAAGAAGATGGGCAGGGCGGTGGAGGACTCCAAGCCGTACTGGGAGGCACGCAGGGTGGCCCGGCAGGTGAGGACCTGGTGCCCGTCCCGCAGCTCCCCTCCCCCGCAGCCCCCTTCCCACAGCCGCCCACCAACCCCGACTTTGTGCACGGCCTCTGTCTATCTGTTCTGCTGGGGACGGAATTGCGGCCTGTGTGTGGCAGAGTGGCCGTGGCTAGCAGCAGTGTGATGTGACCTGTCCATTTTCCTGGCCCACATCCAGCCTTACACCAGCTCAGGTGCTGTCTTGGGGGCGTGGGTCTGTCATTGGGCAGCCATGAGTGGGGCCACCCTGCTGCCCGACTTGGTGCCGGACCTGATTCCTGGGCAGCTCGGACAGTGGCCGGTGCAGGCCTGCTCATCCCGTCTGCTTCCCGAAGCCTGTCTGTCTGGAGCTGGAAGGATGTGTGTTCCCCGTGGTCTCCTTCCCGGGTGGGGGGGTGCGTGCTGGAGTGCACTGCTAACATGCTTGGTTGCTGCCCTAAAGGTGGGTGGTTCCAGTCCACCCAGAGGCACCTTGGGGTGCTTGAGTGACGTCTTGCTGTTTTCTTACTTTTTGAAAGTCTGTGGAGACAGATTTGTTCTGACACTTACAGGGTTGGCACACGTTGGGGTGACTCTCTGTAAACTGTTCCCTCTGTTACACCTGAGAATGCAAATTAATGACTGAGGAACCCAAACCTAAGCTAAAAATGAGCCGTGGAAATGGTGAAGGAGGCCCGCTGGGGCCCCTGCCCTGCCCTCAGTGCTGTGGATGGGTGAGGCCTGTCTGCAGAGACTTCCCTAACAGCCTGATGTGGTGCTGATGCCCGCTTGTCCCCTCCCAACCACTCTGCAGCCCTGAGAACGGGCATGGGGGCAGCCCCACTGCACCGAGTACTTGCTGAGGGCCAGGCCTGGGCTGGGCGCTTCAGAGACCTTGGCACGTAGAGGCTTCCCGACTGGGGTCTCCACAGCCTGACCCACCTGCCCGGTCTGCTTCTGTAGTGTGTCTTGAAATAAGATCCAGGGTTTCCTGAGAAGAAAGGGGCCATTGGGAGGCCATGAGGGGCCATTATGGTTGGAGCTGTGCCCGTCATGTGCATCGTCTCTCCCACCCGAGGCCTCCCCATCAGCTCTCTTCTCCACGGCAGTCAGCGCCGTTCACCTACGCCAATGTGCTCATTCACAGTGGGCTCCAGGGACCAGGCATCCTATCTCTTCTGCGTGCTGTCCTGTCTGCAGTCCTGTACACCAGGAGTTCAGTCTCCGTGTGTGCCCGAGTGGACAGCGGGGCAGGGGTGAGTGGGGAGCTCGGATGCCCCTCCCCGCCCTCTGCCTTGCTCCCCTCCACTGGCTTCTGCCCACACTGGACTGGGGGAGCACAGGGCTGGGAAGCCTGGCAGATCCAGAGTTGTCTGTGTTGGTCCATTCTAACGTGGTTTGGTGGGAGGGTCCCTGACTTCATGGTGCCTCCTGGGGTGGAGGTGACTCGCCCCCTCCTGTCGTCCACCCCAGCCCTCTCTCTTTGACTGGAAGAGGTGGCCGTGGGTGGAGGGAGCAGACTGCCGAGGAGCCATGCGCTGCCTTCTCTCCTTCCCGTCTCCTCCCTGGTAAGGAGAGTCTGTGCGCACAGGTGTCATCAGTCATCGTGGGCCCTGGGGTGGTGACTCCGGCCCAGTGGTGGAGCCCAGGCGTCACACCGGGGCTGGCTGCACTCTCCTGCTGTCCTGTGGGTGGAGAGCCCAGGGTAGCCCTCCCTGGAGCCCAGGCGTCACACCGAGGCCTGAACCCTTCTGCTGTCCTGCGGGTGCGCAGGCCTGGAGTGGCCCTCCCTGAACCCAGGCTTCACACAGAGTGCTGTCTGGACCCTCCCGCCGTCCTGCGGGTGGGAAGTCCCAGGGTGGCCCTCCCTCAGCTACGGGGGTAACAGAGGGGCTGGGAGGCTGCTCAGAGCACAAGACTGGGCTCTGTGACCCAGGGGCTTGGGGCTGAGGACCAAGAGATGGGCTTGTCTGTGTGCTGGGGTCCTCCAGTCATCTCCATGGCCGGGGAGGGCCAGGCCATGTGTCCCTCCAGCTGCTGTCACCAGGCCCCTAGCTCTTTCTCCCTCTGTGCTCTCCCATCACACCTTTTAAAAAAAAAATACTAGTTTATTTACAAAATTCAAATACATTGTTTTTGAGAACAGATTCTTCCAATTTCCCTCACCCCCCACCCCTAGTCGTCAAATTGTAGGACCTCACGATTAATCCCTCGTCATATCCCTCTTTTGTGACCTGCTGACTGTGTAGTTGGGACTTGTGGGCGAGGTCCCTCCAGGGGCCTGTGGTGGGCGAGGCAGCACCTCTGGAAGGCCTGTGGCTGGCGGTCTGTGGAAACGAGCCAGCGAGGACCCTCTGAGCGCTGCTGTGAGCACACCTGGGGGACAGTGTGTCCCAGGGTCCTGCTTCTGCACGAGTGTGGGGTCCAGCCTTGCTGGGAAAATGGTTTCAGAAATTTAGGAACTAGACAAAGAGAAGATAAAGCGAGACCCTTCACCTTCTAATTTGGTTGTGGGTTGTTTTTATTTTTAAAACATTTTATTGTGATTTGGGTAAAAGTTCAGAGCAAATATTTTTCCTGTCTGACAATTTGGACATATTTTGTTCTGTGACATTCTTGCAGTGTCCCCTTCTGTTAATATTTGCCGTCCACACAGCCTCGTCTTTCTCGTTAGTTTGCGTGTTTACTGGAAGTTTGTTTTAGAGCAGTTTTAGGATTACCAGGAGCTTCACACCCACACTCACACCCCCCCTTCCATTTATCTCATCCATTCACTTCAGTTGTTGTTGCATGAGGGCTGAAATTCACACACACACACACACACACACACACACACCCTCCCTTCCGTTTCTCTTGTCCATTCACATCAGTTGCTGCTGCGTGGGGCTACCCTTATGGACGTGGGGGCTGACCGGAGCCCACCCCTTACGTACATGGGCACTGACCGGAGCCCACCCCTTACGGACGTGGGGACTGACCGGAGCCCACCCCTTATGGACGTGGGGACTGACTGGAGCCCACCCTTACATACGTGGGGGCTGACTGGAGCCCGTAGCTTACGTGGTGGGTTCTCTCTGAGCAGCACCCTCCTTTGGTTTGACAAGTGCTTAGAAAGGAATCGTGCCAAGGTGAGGGGTTTATGCCCACCTGGCTCTGCTTGTCTGCCGCCCAGAATCCCAAGGGAGGAGCCCCCTCTGCAGCTTGGTTCCCCCTAGAGGGGTCATTACAACTGTCAAGCGACTGGGACTGGCAGTGCCGTCCTGGTGGTAAGGAGCTGCGCTGCCAACCCAAGAGCATGTGGTTCGAATCCACCAGCTGGTTAGAGGAAGGACAGTGGGCAGTCTCCTCCCCGGCGCTGGAGGGCCGGCTGTGGGCTGCTCCGACTCCCCAGCAGTGACTTTGACTTTCAGTTAAAGACTCACAGCCCCTTTGCTGCTTTCGAGGTGACCCTAGTCCAGTAGGTCACAGCCGACAGTTTCTCGTGTGCACATTCTGCCCAGAGGACGCTGATGTTTCTTCCCCCACCCCCAGCGGAGGGAGGGCAGGAACTGGCTTTGATTTCGTTGTGACTTGGCCACTCTGGGATCTGCTGACCCGTCTGGCCTTCCGTGGGGGTGGGGAGGGTGGCTGGGCATGGAGCCCGAGGTCTTGGTAAACTCGGATGACCCTGAGTTTCTTCCCTGCTTTGGTGGTGAGTTCCAGGCAGATTTTGACAGTGAGTGGCCCTCACCTGCCGTTTTATCATTGTCCGTCTCTTGTTATTCAAATGGTTGGAAGGTGTCAGGAGTCAGGCGAGTACTTTGTGTAGATTGTGTAGACCAAATGCCTCAGTGTGAATACCGAAGGTCATCTCAGGCCTATAGTGCCCCCTGCTCTGGGCAGGGCCTGGTCCTGGGGTCCACTTCCTCGGAGGCCTGGGCAGCTGGGGGACATCTAAAGCTTGCAGGGTGACTTAGCAACAGGCCAAATGGCCTCTGGACCCAGACCATGGCCATGCTCATCGCCCCAGATCCCTGATTTCTTCTTTTATAAAAGAGACTGCCTGATAGCTGGCTTCTGTGAGGAAATTCCCCCAAACGTCAAAGTCTGAAGGCATTTATTTAGTTAGCTTTCTCCTGGTCTGGGCCCGGCTCGCTGGGCTCACTTGTGCGTGTTCACTCCATTGACAGTCTGACTGGGGCCAGCACTCAGGTGGCCTTGGGTGCCAGGCGGTTGGCTGGTGGTCAGCTGTCATGGAGGGAATGACTTGAGCCCCTGTGTCTCATTGTCCACCTTTCCTTGTTGGCTGGAGGAAGTCAGAGGGCCCATCCACGTTCAAGGGATAAGAAAAGATTAACTCCCCAAACACTGTGACACTGATGTGCCAAATGTGATAATAGTTACCCATGGCGGACAGTGTTTGGTGGAACTCCCCGATTAAAACAAGCTTGGAAGCAGGAGTAGCATCCACTTCTGAAATAGCTTGCCTCCGGAAACCCTATGAACCTGGAGAAACAATGGAAGTTATACAAGTGTTCAGTCTTTTGTTCATAGAGTTGCTATGAGTTGTTTATGACTTGACATCACTTAACAACAACAGGAAGCTTTAGAGCCGTAAGTTGTTCTTTGTTTACCAAAGTGTGTAAGTAAATACACAAAGACTCATCAACAACCTGAGGAGGACCTGAGGCACTTGTTGTCCAAGATCAAAGCCTTCGTGTGGACTGTGTCTCTACATCAAGAAGACAGAGTCTCACCACTGGACCAGTAGACGGCATGAAGATAAAGGGAGAAAAGTCTGAAGTTGTCAGGGATTTCGTGTTACTTGGATCCATAATCAACATCCTTGGTAGCAGCAGTCAGGAGATGAGGAGACGTACTACACTGGGAAGTCTGTTGTCAGGGCCTCTCCAAAGTACTGAAGAGCAGTGAGCAATGATGTCAGTTTGAAGACCCAGGTGCACCTGACTCAGGCCAGGTCTTACCCATCACTTGCTTTGCACTGAGATCTGGACGTGCACAAGG